AACTACTGCCCCCAGAGCCGCTCTCCGACGCCAATGCGTTGGAGCTTCCTGCTTGTTTTAAGCTCCCATCAACGCAATGTTACTTGTGATCACTAAACTCTAAAAAAATACAAATAAAAAGATAATAAGCTATGCCCTCTTTCTATTACATTTCCTGTTGACCAGTAAAACCTCCCTTTCATATGATAGTTTCTAAGTGGGGGAGGGGGGGGACTTATATTTTAAATAAAACAAATTGGTGAAGCCAAATTCATCGCCTTAATATTTCACCAAATAAATTTACGAAAGTTAAAATCAGGGAAATTTCAAGCTACGTTGTAGAGACTTAAGGCTTACCAGCTTTGAGTAGATGGATCCAAGATTCTTCAACATGCCTTAAACTATAAGCTACATCGATATACTGCAGAGCTGATTGAAACGGGGTCGGTTTTCCTTCATCCGGTGCTGCAGCTGTACAGACAAAAGATATTGCCATCATGAACTTGTAATGAATTTTAAAAAGTATCCCAACTTTACATCCGCACAAATAATGCATGTTAGGCTTTTATGGAAACGCTCTTGGCTATACACATATATAGATATACCACAGGTATACGATGGTAAACAAATTCAATATACGAGATTTCCTAAAAAAGGGGACCTTACTCCACAAGTACACACAACATGTTAAGTTTGCTATACATGAACATGAATAGAATACATGAGAATATATTAACATTTTGAGATAAAAAAACCGTCAAAAATTTTCATAGCTTTCAAATTCAAGAGTTTATTCGGTGACTTGACATTTTAGGTAGATTTTAAGGAGTTCTTGAGAAAAGCTGTTTAAAATTTTAATTTTATTTGTCTAAGTCACGAAATTTCCAGACGGCAACAAAGTTTGGCAAAAGAAAAAAAATTGCAACTCTTGGGAAACTATACGCAGTTTGCAAAGAAATTTCAATTCTCAAGAGTTGATTCTCTGGCCTAACTCGAAAAAGATATCTTTGCTGAAAATGATACCGCCGTGAACTAACGATAATTTACCTTTTTTGTGGCCAGACCGGCAGGGTTTAAAATAACGTTTGCAGAGAAAAATATGGGATGAAGGAAAACGAGTCGTCAAAAAATACTACTTACTCTCTTCTTTAACTTGTAAAGTGCACTCCTGTTTGTTAAATTCACTAAAAAATAGATTCGCTATTTCTCCGTGCAGAGCTCGCTGCAGATCTTGAGAGGTTAGATATCGCTTCCGTGCCACCTTGCTAATTAGTTTATGCTGCCAGCAAAATAGGATACGACCGCTCATGAATTTTTCCATCGTCAAAGAAACTGCAGGTAGAAATGGAAGTCATTATGAGCGTGTAATGAATAAATTAAACAACATGTATTAGTTGATAAACATGTATGTAACATGCTCAATGTATGTGTTAATTAAGAAAATCGATTATACTATCAAGATTTTTTTGCGTAAAATTGAGAATCCTTATGCAATGCATCTTTTGTTTATGTTTTCTGGTCATTAATTGACTGAACTTATATCCAAGAGCTTTTCAGAGCTTTCGTTAAACATGCTGATTCTTCGTAAAAAGTGCTGATGGATAATTTCGAGGCTTCCGAAAAGTAAATCTAGTGGAGCTCGTAAAAATAGGGTCGAGCGTGTGGAAACATCGATGTGGAAAGCAAAAAAGCACCTGGGAGGATTAAATTGAAATTCGCAAGCGCATGATGTACTTCTTCAAACACGAGAGAGAAAATTTCCGCGAATAATGAAATGCTGTCTGCAGGAGCGAGTTATTCAATCGTCCATGTCAATTCGCTGAAGTCTCGATATATGCATTCGTTCAAACAGTTTTATAATACAGGATGTAGATTGTATATTTCTTCCTCAAAAGAGAAATAACCAACTGGATTCTCATTTTATGTGTAAAATAGCACGGAAATCACGTTAAGCGCATCAGAAATACCAATAATCCACTCATTAACGCACACTTTGTGCAGTCGTTATATCATTTTGTTTAAAAATTTACTGCGTCCAAGAGCAGTTTTTCTTACTTGCCGGTGCCGGTGATCAGGTTTACCTAGAGAGGGAGACCCATGGCAGATCTAACAATTTGGCAACATTGGCTTTCCTCAACTTAAACCCGTGTTGAATGATTGGTCCTCGCCGGAGTACTTGACCCCTCCGAGAATTGATACATTTTCGTACGTTTAAATGGAGAAAAAACAATGTTGCCAATTTGCTGGATCCACCAAAAAAAAAGACGCAAAAAAGCTTAATCTAAATAAACAGGCAATATACAGGGTGATCCAAAAGTCCCTTCCACCCCCTCTAACTTTTTACCTAATTGAGTTAAAGATTTGAAACTTGGGGGATGTTCCTAGGTCAAAGGGAGCTACTTTTTGGCCTCCCTAAAATTTTCAGGGGGGCCCCCCTTGGGGGGCAATGGACCCCAACTTTTAATTTTCAAATAGGAAGACCCCCTTTGTGATAGCTCGTTCGAAAGAGCATAAAAAAAAAAAACTTTTCGCGCAAACCCGAAGTCAATATCTCAAACCGTTCCAAAATGGCGGCCGG